CTGTTCAGCATATCTTAGCTTTTCCGAGGAGGTGATCTTCCGGGGGGATGCCCCCCAGTATTCGAGGTTGATTGCAAGAGAAGCTTCGAATACTCGTTGAGTTTTCCTTAGGTAGCATATAGGTGTTGCCTCATTAAAAACCTCGCCGGTAAAACCCTTCTTGGGATAAAAACCCGATCGAAGGAAAAGAGTGCAACGCATGCTTTTGAAACATAAAGGCCTTCGAGTTGGGAAGCGCTTCAGCTGTTTCGATCAGATACCTGCACCTAGGTTAGTGTAAGATGTAATTGAAAAATGGGAGGCGATCATACCTTAGTGCTGATGGCGCTTCGGCCCTTGATATGTTTCGATCGTTTGTCATGAGGATGCGGTACGGTCCTTTGCTTCGTTTGGTTCGGACTTAGCCGAGGGCGTATCTTGCTATCGCTATTTTACTGTTTGATAATCCTTTGGCTCCTTCGAGGGTGGAGGCACTGGTGTCGGCGTTGCATCGTCCACTGCGAACATTTCCTTTGCCGCATGTTGTTCCCCGTAGACGGTTTTAATCCCCTCTTTTGTCAGGAATTTCATCATTTGATGGAGGGTGGATTGTACTGCTCTCATGCAGTGTATCCATGGCCTTCCGAGCAAGGCGTTGTACCTCATGTCTCCTTCGATGACATGGAATTTGGCATTTTGGGTTGTGCCGGCCACGTTGGCTGGGAGGGTGATTTCCCCTTTTGTTGTTTCGCTCGCCATGTTGAATCCGTTGAGGACTCGAGAGGCGGGCACGATTTGGTCGAGCAGCCCGAGCTGCTCTACCACTCTCGACCTGATAATGTTGGCCGAGCTACCTGGATCCATGAGTACACGTTTAATTTTAAATGTATTTACAAGGAAAGAGATTACCAGTGCGTCGTTGCGAGGTTGAGACAAGGTCTCGATGTCCTCGTCGCTGAATGTGAGGGCATCCTCGGATATGTAACCCCGAGTTCGTTTTTCTCTAGTGATGGATATTTTTGTTCTTCTGATCGTGGGTTCTTGTGGTTCATCGATGCCTCCCAAGATCATGTGGATGACATGCTGTGGCTCATTTGTCTCGTTCTTCTTTGTCGCCTCTCTTTCCCGGAACTGGTTTTTAGCCTGGCCGCTGAGGAATTCTCGGATTTCCTTGTTGCTACTTTGATGGCACCAGCATGTGCCTTAATGAAAGAATCCACCAGGATGGCAAAAAAATCTATCGAGTTTGGGGCCAGGTTGTGATACCACATCATTGCCCCTTTAGAAAGTGTTTCCCCGAACTTCTTCAGCAGGACGGACTCGATCTCATCGTCCCTCAGATCGTTGCCTTTCACCGCACAGGTGTAAGCAGTAACATGCTCGTTGGGGTCCGAGGTTTCGTTGTACTTCGGAAGTTCTGGCATTCTGAACTTCTTCAGAATGGGTTTCGGAGCCGCTTCCTGTGGGAACGACTTCTGTACGAACTTCTTTGAATCCACACTTTTTAAGATCGGGGGTGCGCCCGGAATTTGGTCTACCCTGGAGTTGTAGGTCTCAATATTCTTGTCGTTGGCCTCTATCTTCTTCTCACCTAATTCGATCATCCTCGTGAGTTCCTCGAGCATCTTTACGATGGCGGGGTCGGCTGCCGACCCATTGTTGCTTGACCTCTCTGGTACCTGCTCGGTTGGGGGAGCCGTCCCCGGTGCTACCGTGCTAGGAGTTTTCTGGTGACTTTGCAACTGAGCAATAGCAAGCTGTTGTGCCTGCAACATTTCAAAAATAACGTGAAGGCTAACCTCCCGTTCTTCCCTAGCTGGGGTTTTCTGGGCTTCTTGTTGGTCGCCTTGGTGTATGCTCCTGTTGGTGTGGGAGCTTATTTCAACGTGTTGAGCATCGCGTGAAACCGCGTCCACGAGAATCGGTTCCGGTGCATTCTCAGGGTTTCGTGGTGGTACACCAACACCTGGGACGTCAACACCATTTTCTCCATGGTCTTCAGGGTTGATGTTTTCACGAGCGTTTACTGAGTTAGACATCTTGACCTGAAATCAAAGATCTTGGACAAGAAAAAGTGTAAAAGATAACTTGCGTTACGTGGTCAAACCAGCAAGAAAAAATAATCACTATTATTTTTAGCCCCACGGTGGGCGCCAAACTGTTTACCGTGAAAATGGTAATAACAATTAAATTTGATTATGAGGTTCTAAAAATACGTGATCTATTTTTATGATGGTTGTTAAGCAATAGATGCTAGATGAAAGGTTAGAAATCAGGATTATAGCTTAGAAATGACAAGATAATCGAACCAAACGGTGGCGGATTGGGGGCCTCAAGCTGTCGATTACAGGGCCTCGAGGTCGAGCTGGACGGTCGATTCGGGGCAGCCGAGGGGGAGATAATAGTTATAAGGGCTATAGCGATGGATCTTTTATGAACAATAATAGGCAATAAATGAAGAACAATAAATAGGACACAATGAATGTAAGCAATAAATGAAGTAATGAACTCAAGAGAATATGTTAGAGAGCAGAGAGAATGCTCTTGTGTATTTTATATTTAGCCTCAGATCCCTTACAAATGACAACGATTCCCCTTTATATATGAGGGGAAACATAGTACAAAATACATTAATTACAAAGATATGGGGCAGGTATAGCCACCTAATGCCCTGATACAGGTCAGGGCTAGCCCTCTAGGCTTTGTCAGCCTCAGCCGTGCGCCTAGGGAACTTCCCAATTTTTTATCATAGCTGTCGACTTGCACCGTCTCGAGGTTGAGCATCGATGGCCCTTCGGGGTGAATCTCGACCGTAGTCCCGAGCATTTGGAGAGTTTTACTTACGAGACGTTATAATGGCCAAAAATTGGACCCTCCAATTTTACCGTATACACTTCAGACAATTGATAAAGTAAATGTAGAGGCTGGACACTTCTGATTCAACATAGCAAGGACGTCCCGCCTGTCAAAGTTAAATTAAGAACACAAAGGAACAGCAAAATAATGGGCTCATTTTGATGTATTATGGTTTTCTTGTTTCCAGATCTGTAAAAAAAACTGAAAAGCTTCAGTTGCTCTCTTAATACCAGTATACATGGCGCTATGGCAGCAGTAAGAAGTGAGTAACTGACATAAGTGAGACCTTTTAATGTACAATCACTAAACCCTTTATAGAAAACACAGAAAGAAGCTTTCCCATTATACACAAAAGAAAACCTAAAGCTTTTTTTTTTCGAAGAAAGCTCAAACTTCAACTGTTATAGAATACCACACAGTGTGACACTCATGCAAATTTAAAATCAAAACAAAATGAAACAATTCACTGTTTAACATCAAGAGATTTACGACACTGACCTTAAAATCCTGCGCCCAAACAAAACCAAATCTCTTGGATGGTATAATTTGGATTATGTCCAAATTGACTTACAAACGAGAATATTACTTGTCCCTCCAAAGTTTATAAGTGTCGAGCTAGTTAAACTTAAAAGTAACTGCAGCACCTATTACCAGAAGTTAAAGTTAAACAGAAAATTCTGCAAAACTGCTACCAATTGCAGAAAACACATAATCCACAGAGTTTGTACAATGCTGATGCCAAGAAATGAGGACTTTTAAGTCCAATTTTAATTAAGAGTACCTATACTATTGGTCACTGCAGAGTAACAGGGTTCCATATTCCTAAATGCTTTTATTGCTCCCCTAAATAACAGCACAAAAGGCAAGAACTAGCAATCAATATGTCATAAGAGAATTTAACATTCATGAAAGCCCTGCACTCAGCAATACCAGAAGGCCAAAGCCATATAAGGAAACGAAAATTACACTCGAAATCATTAAGAAATATTTCCTATTTCCCAAATAACAAATAGGTTACATTATTTTATGTATGTCTACCCAAGCTTCAAGAATTCATTTATGAGTAAAAAACTACAATACTCAATCGCCAAAATAAAATAGTTTTCCAATTTTCAAGTGTTCACGAATTTCACACCATATGTATGAGCAGTACCTTTGTCTGAAACAAAACGAATAACAGATTTCATTAATAAGATATCAGAATACAGAAAGCTACTGAAATTACAACTCTTTTTATGGGATACCATCTATTCAGGAGATATTGATATCCATAAATGGAGCTTTCAGGTCAGGTTGAATATACAGAAAGCTACTGAAATTACAACTCTTTTTGAGGGATACCATCTATTCAGGAGATATTGATATCCACAAATGGAGCTTTCATGTCAAGTTGAATATATCGAAAGCTACTTAATTTGAGCAAGTATGACTGTAACACTGCTTATCTCAATAGATTACAGCCACTGATATCCACATTCAGATGCTGCAGCAGTCGCTTTGCTAGAAGCAAAAACAAAACGTACCTACTTTAGTTGTTGAAAGTACTGATAATGAGAAAAGGTAACAGCCGATGAAACCATTTGCATGCATAAATTTAGTACTTCAAGTCAGACTGAAACTAAAAGGCAGCTCTCTTTGGCAACACAGACTAACAACCTTAGGTAAGACAAGGGCGAAAACTTACCTAAAATCTATGGAACATGGGATGCCTCATAAAAGACTAATCATCTCACAACTCGTTCTGCAAAACCTAAATTCAAACAGAAAATTCATCAAATGGCTAATCCATGTCAAATGCAGCCAAGTTCAACCTTTGATGACGGTGAAAAAAGAAATATGTATCCTCCTGCAACAATAGTAAATAAGCACTTGATAACAAACCCAAATCAATCTCCATTTCATATAATGATAAAGGAAATGCAAAGTTTGAACAATCACCACGCAACATAAACGATTTTAAGTCCATGTTTAACTAATAGTGTCAAAACTTAGGACCATAAGCAAAGTTGAAAGTGCTAAGCACCAGTAAGTAGTGAAAAAGGAGACTGTAAATTAAAGTTCTTAATACACAAATGATAAAATAATTTGATGTTTCTATTGGGTGCTTTCTAAACAAATAATCAAACATCAAACATATAGTACAAACGCTAATAAGATGTAACGGCAAAATGAACGACAAATTTCATTAATAAGAATTCAAAGTACTAATAAACCAGAGGTTTTACATATACTTTGATTGAAACAAGTCACTTGATTTACATCGCTAACCCTAACATTCAGCAAAAAACACAAAAACAATGCCCTAGATCAGAGAACACGAATTAACCATAACCATAAGCATAACAAGCTTCACCCTAAGCTCTTTCGCCACGAATCCTCCTAGCAAGCTGAATGTCCTTGGGCATGATAGTGACCCTCTTGGCGTGATTGGCACAGAGATTTGTATCTTCAAAGAGTCCAACAAGGTAAGCCTCAGCAGCCTCTTGTAGGGCAGCAACAGCACTGCTCTGGAACCTCAGATCTGTCTTAAAATCCTGTGCTATTTCCCTCACTAGCCTCTGAAACGGCAACTTCCTTATCAGCAACTCTGTTGATTTCTGGTACTTTCTGATTTCCCTTAAAGCTACAGTTCCGGGACGGAAACGGTGAGGCTTCTTCACTCCTCCGGTCGCCGGAGCTGACTTTCTCGCAGCCTTTGTAGCTAGCTGCTTCCTTGGAGCCTTACCACCTGTTGATTTGCGAGCGGTTTGCTTAGTACGTGCCATTTTGAATATGAAAGGTTTTGTAGATTGGGAATTGCTTTGATTGTGAGATAATGGTGAATTCGTGAGATGTGTAATGGGGAACTTTTATAGGAGGGAATTGGGGCGGGAATTTTGGGAAATTTTGAAAAGAGTTTGAAATATTGTGAGAGTGAATGAAATCCGTTGATTGGCTGAGGTTTTGTTTTGACGGTGGAGATTTGAGAAGAGATGATACTCGGATACTAATCTATGTGCTACCAAAGTAACAAATCAGTAGTCGCCACGTGGTTATACTTCCTAATTTGTTTTCTTTCTGATTGTACTTGCGTGTTTACTTGTCGTTTCTATTTTTGCCACAATTTAAACTCATCTAAAAAGTTGAATTAAACCCATCTAAAATTTTCTGTTTAATTGAAATTTGTTATGAATCAATAAAAGAAGAAGAGTATTGCAGAGAAAAGTTGGGAGAGAGAATTCTTGTTGATATGTGATGAATTACAATGGAATAGAACCCTTTATTTATAGGGAGAGGGTGACTTAGCCACCAAGCAATGAACCCTAGAATCTCTCTAAATATAGACACTCACCATAAATAAAATTCTATTTATAACACTCCCCCTTGAAAGTCTATTCAATACATAATGTGCCTCGTTAAAATCTTAACTAAAATAAAACCAAGTGGGAAAAAAAATCTAGAGAAGGAAAAACAGTACACATATCTAACAATACGCCTTTTGGTTGCCTCGTTAAAAACCTTGCAAGGAAAACCCAGTGGGACAAAACCTTGTAAGGGAAAAAGAGTACAACGCGTATAAATTTCCCCTGATAAGAGCATCAATTCACATCCTTGAGCTTTCGCATTCCAATCTTGTGCACCATCTTCAAAAGATCTTTGGTAGAGATTTGATGAACAAATTAGGCATATTAACTTGAATGAATATATTGCACCTTGAAATCACCATTCTTGATAGAGATGAATTGTCTTCATATGATCTTGTTGGAAACGTCAGTTCAGTGTCTTCACATAAAGGTGAAAACTCTTTCTATTATATTATCATGCATATAGTTATAGCAAGATACATTTGTGCACAAATTACACTGAGGATGTAGTACTTCATGACCATGAATTCTATATGCTTTAAGCAATTTAAATCCTTCATGGATTGTCATATAAGTTAAGTCATATAATAGACTTTAGATGCATATCAAGTTTTCATGTCATACTAGACATATAAGATATCGAAAACTGATTGCACATATCATTGACTTTATACTTTCAAGTGTTTGAACTACATGTTCAAAACTACATGTCTTTCATATGAAACCAATTGTACTTGAATTTTTTTCTTCAGACTTAAGATCCTCATATATATATTTAGCGCTATCATAGATGTCGTCGACAAATATTTTCTATCTGTTTCAATATTTTTTCATAAAGACATAACATAGAGATCTCTTCATTCATTATTTTCAGGTACCTGAATCTCTCTTAGTAAATTTTATGAAGTGTTATGCCATGTGATCTTCTAGATCACTTGCCTCCTTTATTATGATCATTTTGATCATTTGCTCATCTTTTTATCAAGAAGTTTATTTGAAACCGTATTTGTCTATATGCTTTAAGCGTACTATAGACTTTGTCCTTCTAGGACTTATTCTAATAGGAGCATTTGCAATGAGAATATAGTTACTTTCTTTGGGTCAGCAAATGCGTCTGGCATGCTTTGTAATATATTGCAGATGAATTATATTTTATTGAACTTCAAGTTCATATTATTTATTTCGGNTACATTTTCATGCATAATAAATTAATAATACTTCAAAATTCAAATTAATTTAACAAACTAAAACATTAAGCATAAATACGTCTAATAATTTTAAAATAACATAAATTGTCTCAAATCAACTTANCTTCTTCATTTTCTTCTAACACCTCAAAGTGTTACCAAACATATGAGCGCACTCTAGAAGTACGGGGCATGATTTAACTTGAAGTCTTGAAATTGATGCCGCACTTCACTTGAATAATTGAATTAGAAATTTATGATAATAATACTTTTATAATGACTAAACTAAATATTTGATGAAACTTGAAAGTTGAAAGCTTGAAATAATGAGTAATTGAGAATATTATCAAGAGAGAATTGAGAGAGAATTAGAGAGAAAATGAATTGAATTGTGAGGAATAATGAAGAAGAAAGGGGGTATTTATAGTTTTTAAAAGGCTACAATTGCAATTTAGAAATTATAAGGGGTGGGGAGCTAAAATATAAATAAAAAGCCAAAAAGTGGGCAGAAATAAACGTTAGCCAACGGTCCTTTTTGGTATTAGACCGTTGGCAACGCTCAGATTTTTTTTTTAAAAAAAAAAAACAAAATTTCGGGTTAACGGGCTGTAGCCCGTTAAGAACCCGTTAAGGGCTTAACGGGTTGTAGCGGGTTCGGTTACCCGTTAAAAAAAAGTGGACGTTACAAGCCCGCCCCCCGCCCAACCCGCGCTATAGTCTACAGTAACGGGCTGGACCGGGCTGACCCGGGTTGAACCGGGTTGTTAGCGGATCAGCCCGGCCCGATTAACACCTCTAATTTAAATCCTTCAGGGATTGTTAAGTCATATAAGCCATATAATAGACTTTAGATGCATATCAAGTTTTCATGTCATGCTAGACATATAAGATATCGAAAACTGATTGCACATACCATTGACTTTATACTTTTAAGTGTTTGAACTACATGTTCAAAACTACATGTCTTTCATATGAAACCAATTCTATTTGAATTGTGTCTCTTCTATTTGGCCAATATTTTTGTGTCTGTATTCGACAGACTTAAAATTCTCATCTATACTTAGCGCTTTAATAAATGTCGTCGACGAATATTTTATATCGGTTCCAACCTCCTTATTTTTCACAAAGACATAACATAGAGATCTCTTCATTTATATTTTCAGGTACCTGAATCTCTCCTGAGATTTTATGAAGTGTTATGTCATGTGATCTTCTAGATCACTTGCCTCCTTTGTTATGATCATTTAGATCATTTGCTCATCTTCTTTATCAAGAAGTTTATTTGAAACCGATTTGTCTATACGCTTTAAGCGTACCATAGTTTGTCCTTTTAGGACTTAATAGGAGCATTTGCAATGAAAATATAGTTACTTTCTTTGGGCCAGCAAATGCGTCTGGCATGCTTTGCAATATATTGCAAATGAATTATCTTTTTATTAACTTCAAGTTCATATTATCTTATTCGAGGATCGAGATGTATAAATAATAATTCATTGCATGTAACTTTTTCTCAAATGTTTATCATGTCTCTCCCTCATGTTAGAAAAACTTACTTGTTTTCTCAACTTTGAGAACCCATCTTTGTGTGTTATGGTATTAAATATACCCCGCACATCAATAACAATAAGATAGAATTATTTGGTTCCTGACCCTGAACCACTTGTGAGGGGAGAATGTAATATACTTCCGTATATAACCTATATCAAACTGATATATATATAACTTTGTTCTCATAAGAAATAGTTTAGCTATTAAGTGGAGGCACTCAATAAATCATTTTGCTAAACCAACTGTGATGTAAACCAACTTATCAAGATGAACTTCTTGAATAGAAAATCTGGAAATTATGCTCGAAATTAAATTATTGAACAAGTTACCTCGCAAAACACCATGTTGCGGGTTATTAATAATCGCACATAGTACCATTGTGAGCACGTGTATTTTTGCCCT